TCATGCCTCCCCGCGTACACGCTGGCAGTGGAATGATCTTCTGATGGGGGGGGGGGGGAGTTGTGAAACCATCAGATACCAGCCAATTGTAGGCTGATCCAAGCCTCGTCCCGTTATAGGACCCAGTCAAAAAGGTGGCCCCCCAATCCCGCTTCCACCGCCAGAGCCTGCGTAAGCATTCTGCCTGGAGTGTCATGTTTTGCATGTGTTCACATGGGCAGAATCAGTTTAAACACTAAGAGTGCATTACTCTACATTTCCCTAAAGATTCCCAAGATTTATGCACAAAAATGATTCTCCAACTTTTCTGCAAAAACATTCTCCAACCTTCAGCACAAAAACTCTCCAAGTATTCTGAGACGCTGCTCCCCAATTTCTGCAGAACCCTTCCCCATTTCTGGGAGGCAGAGAATCGTGATTCTCAGACGTATGATTCCGATTTGAAAAGAAACTTTTCATGGGCATTTTGCGCCAGAAGAGGAAGCCAAGTGAATTACTTTGAAGCATCGGACCAGATTATTTATATTAATGTTTGTATTGCAATGTACGTACAATGCCTTCCGCCTTGGTCAGCGGGTCCTTCATCAGTTCTGCGGTACACTCCTTGAGGTCACTTAAAAAGGTGTCCGCCACGCCCGGTACCGTGTGCATCTTGGTCACGACAAAGTTCACCCTGGAAGTGACCAAGACAATAATTTTTTGAGGGGGGGGGAGATTTTCTCGAAGAGTTTGTGCAACAGAAAGTTCATGCTATGAGCCTCGAGCTGAACCAAGAAAGGGTGCAATTTTCTTAGCAACGGAGGCTCCTTTGCTCGGAACTGAACTTCACTGGTTCAAAAACGATTGGAAAATGAACGTGTTACGGGTGCATTGCTACCAACAAAATGGCCACTCCCGACCAATATGGCTTTTTTCAACTGATGAGGGGGTGCTTCTGCTCGAGGCGGATAGAGTCAAAGAAATGCATACTTTATGTTCAATCTGTTTTCATCATGAGTGGGTGATGCCGTGATTTCAGGGGTGTTGATTGTTTGGGCTTTTCTGCAGATGCAAATATCCATATTCATGATTAAAACAGAATGTCACACAGGGTGGAAATTTCAGAATTAATTAAAACAAAGTTTAGCAGATGAACGTAGATGTGATTAAAGGCAAAAATGCTGCAGGTCTACAGTAAACTTTAGAGGAACTATTTGTTAGAAAGGACCATCTACCTCTAGTAACAATTTGGGTGACTTTCAATGAATTTTAACAACTCTTAGTAAATTTTCATTTCAGGCCTTCATTCTTGGAAAAAATTCATGGCAAAAGGCAAAATGCGGGGTAGTTTTGAACCCTCATTTTGGCTTTTTGTTGGTATGATTCTTCATTTGTATGTGTGTGGTTTGTTTTGGGAGAGATTCAAGTTCATCTTCTAGGAAAGTAAACTGTCAAAATTAAGAAGAAGCTGTCAATTTTTCATTTCTAATTCCAATTCCCGAAAGAAGACCAGAGAAAGATTAAAACACCAAGATCTTATTTCTTCCTCACCCTGCCGGGTACTGAACAGTGAACAGATGCCATCCACGTTTAGCCATCGAAGACCCCAAGCGGTTGATGTCGAACGACTTGGATCCCATGGCCAGGATGCTGGCGCTCGGTTTGCCACAGATGAACAGGCCTGGGATGTCGCGGATGCTAGAAGGAAAAAGCACCCCATACAGGTAAGAATTGCTTCTTAACTGAACAAATGTTGGTGGCTTTTTGGTTTGAACTCTTCAGGGTCCGAGGTTGACAGATGGAGAGGAAACCGTAAAACATCAAGCGGAGGGGTTGTCACAGTGACAAATTAGTCGTGACTTTTCACGGCTTTCAATATAGAGGGTTTGCATGGGTGACATGTTGCAGGGCAGTTCTTTTGTTCCAAGGGGAAACCTCCTTTGTGCACATCCTGTGTAACAAAAGCGCTGGCCTGCAACATGGTAGCGATGGAAACCCCTCTCTTAGGCCAAGTTCTTTGTCAAATGGCTATGATAATATGAATCCTAAACTTGGATTTTTGGACAAAGTCAGAAAGAAAAAGGCGGCCACACACAAATTATTCATCCTCTAAAAATCCAGTGTCTTAGGGGTGAGAAATGTCAAGAAATCTTGAGAAACCACATCCCTGATGTCTTGGCGGTCGATGAATTGTTGGGGTACAAGTGTATCTGATACTTGTATGCCTTTTTCAAGGTTAGGGCTGAGTCAATTCAAATAATTGACTACTTGAATATTGGACCTTCGATTTGATCGAACATTCGGTTGTACCAGCCGGCAGATTGCTGCTGAACATACCATATAAAAAATCAGTCACAATAACGCCCACAATTGTAAATAATAATCATTACTAATAGGCCTACTAAGAATATTATCTTGGCACATTCATACGTTTTTGTTTAAAGCTATTTCCATATTCTACGATATATTCTATATTGGGGTGTCTGGCAGATCAGCTGCCTTCACGTGTCTGGAATCTGCTTGAAACAAGCCTCCATAGTATGATTTTTCTTATTCAAAAAGGAAAACTTTTCATTAATTTTTTTACAAATTTTTCATTCGCATATTTCGATACGGAAAATAATAATCGAATTTCATAACTGATCGAATAAGCGGCAAAGCCCTAGGAGAGGTTGATTCTGTTACTCTTACTTTTAATACATAGCTAGGGCCCGAGGCAGCTTAAAAACTTGGCAGAGAATGCGCCGTCGGTTTCCCAGGGAGAAAATTTTTTATAGAGTTCCCAGAGACAAAGGCCTCGAGCGCTAGAACTCTACAGCGAATCTTAGGCGGATGAAACTCACTGTTTCTCAATGTACTCTCTGGTTTGGATGACCTTGACGGCACTTTCCATGTAGCCTTCTCTCCCAAGAGCCAACATGGTCGCCCAGCAAGTTGCAATGATCGCACCCGAACGCGTGCCTTGAAATGAGACCAGCGGCAATATTGGTTAATTCAATGTGGCATTCTACTTCGGCTTTTGCAAAGTCAATGCTGTAAGATTTGTGCACTTCCATCCACTTGAGGAAACTTAGACGATGACCTAGCAGGTTGTGATATTTTTCCTAATCACGTGGCTGGAGAAGAGACCAGCAACAATGTACATGGCATGTACGTTCATTGTAGCATTGAGCTAGGGCCTTCACAGAGCCAATGTTATGTAGGAATTGCATCTTCTTTGCCTATTCAAGCAACAATTTTGGCTGCCCAGCATATTGTGCGATATTAATTGCATCCAGTGACTTGAAAAGAGACCAACAACAATAGATGTTCATTGTGGCATTGGGCTTGGACCTTCACAGGGGCAATGTTATAAGAACTGTGTCCTTCCTCCTATTCGATTAATAACTACTTTGGTTGCCCAGCAGATTTTGTGATACATCCGGTCATTAAACTTGAAACGAGACTAGCAACAATGCAAGTTCACCGTAGCACTGGGCTTGGACCATCACCAAGGCAGCATTATAAAAATTGTGTTCTTCCATGCATCGGAGTAACAAGTTTGGCTGCTAGCATGTTTTTGTGACGTTAATTGCACCTGATCCTGCAACTTGAAAAAAGACTAGCAACAGTGCCAGCTCCTTAAACCCAGCCAAAATCAGCCGGTTGCAGGTTAGGATTAGGACAGTGCACGTCTGTCTTCAAGCTGCTGCACCTAACCACTAGTTCGCAGCCCCCACGGGGGCCACATGTTATTTCCAGCTGCAGCTCGGAACTTGGGACACCACCTCACCTTGAATGGCTCCCGAGGCATAGATGCCCCCGCACCAGTCTGTGTTGATGTAGAACTGTCTTGAGCGGTACCCGGCATTCCTGTACAGGATCACAGAGGACCCCTTGGGCGCCTGACCATACTGCAACGGACGCAATGAAGACTCGGGGTTCAGAGGGGTTCCAAATATGTGAGCCAGTTTAAAACTGACAACAAAGTTGTTGGGGGATACTGAAGAGACTCGGGCCACAAAAACGGGAAAGTTATTCGGGTCACTTTCATGCAGAACGTAGAACTGCGTCACTGCATGACAGAGCTCGTCATTCACAGTTCATATACGAAAATGTGGTTCTTTCCAAAAAATGAAAGTGGGAGATAAAAAGGCTGGCTACAAAGTAGGGGGGAGAAATACAGGTCCAGCAATGGTAAGTCAGGTTACCAACTCTGTGGCCCGGGTTTGAGTCCCACCCCGGCCAACACATGGATTAGGTTGACCCGGTCCCTGCCTGACTCGGAGGTGTTTTCCGCTGAATACTGTTACTAGGTTTTTGCTCACCAAGTTTTTCGCTGAGCATTCCTTCATTATCTTCTTTCTTAAAGCAAGCAAGTTAAATTTAAGTAAAATCTGGAAATTCACAAGAACACAACGATTTGAATTCTCTCCATGTTTAATAGAGACACTGTTGCTATACCTCGTGATTTGGGGCAACTTTTTGCTCAGTTACATGACAGACGCCTTGAACCAATAGACCTTTTTCGTGTGATGTCACAATCGTGCTGGACCGCGATGTGTTGTGATGGTAATGAGTGCATAGTGTTGTGATGGTGATCTACTTATTCAAGAGAAACCAGTCAAGCATGCAGTGTTCGCACGTGCGCTTGCACATGGTTGAAGCTGCCCGTAGGAATATTCTGCGATCACCGTGGCCAAGTCGGTCCACATGTGGAGGTATTGTTTACATTTAGTGCAATCCAGTCACGTGGGTGAAAAAAGGGCTATGAACTGTTTTAAATGGGGAAAAAAAGGCACAAAGGAACCCGTCCATTCCAGAGATGGTGGTCGCTATGCAAAAGCTTGCCCCCAAACATGAGGCATAGCAACAGTGTCTTTAGTCTGGGAAAATTGTTATGTTCATGAGCAGTCAGATAACTCAGTGTATCAGATGTTATTTAAATTGAACTCGCAAGAGGCTTATTGGAATGAATCATTTATGTGACTGGCAGGAGAGGGCACCCAGACAGTTTGTTTTCCACACAACGTTAATAAAATGCAAACAGGTGGCACGTTAGATAACCCCCTCCCCTGAAAGAGAACAGACGCAGCACTTTGTGAACATCAGCCGAGATGCTGGTAACGCCTTCAACTGCAAAGTCCATGGAGGGTACGTTCAGACCAGCTTCCTTGGCGAAGGGGAGGACAAACCCTCCCATGCAGGCGTCCACGTGGACTGGGATGTCATATCTCTTCCCAAGCTGGAGGGGAAAACAACAAACAAACAAAATACAAACAAACAAACAAACACAACAGTAAAACTAGTTATTCTGATGGAAAAGGTCATGACATCTGAATTATGAGTCAACGTTTCATTACTGTGACTGCAGTAGCCGATCTAAAGAGGGGTCATTTTCTTTTTCTTTTGTGTTTTGAGGGAGACACCGTTTCCTTCCCCCTTCTGTTGTTTTGTTTATTTCCTAACTTTTTAGAAAGAAATCACCATGAAAAAAATAGGCTCCCTCGTACGTTTGGTTCGCCTTGATTTACAGTGCCCTTTTTTGTAAATACTGGATCCGCCGAGGGGCTGTACTTGGATGCCTTCTGGCAGTGTTATACTTGAAATCATTGCAAGACCCTCCACAAGACCAGTCACAAGACCAGTCACATGGCCAGTCACAAGACCAATCACAAGGCCAGTTACAAGACTAGTCATAAAACCGGTCACAAGACCAGTCACAAAACCAGTCACAAGACTGGTCATAAGACTGAATAGCTTGTGCCATGAATTCAGACTGGAGGTCTTGCGTTGGTCTTGTGATGATGCTGTGGGGGTCTTGTAAGTGTTCTTAAGAGGTCTCGACTACAATGTTGTCTAAGCTCCTCCTGGCAAAGGATGGTTTCCAAATCTTGGCCTCATGGGCGCCAGGCCTCAGAATTTGATGATATTGCCGATATAAGACAACACCCCTATAGCTTAGTGCAATCCCAAGTTCCTTCTGCAGACATGACCAGCAGCATCATCATTTCTGCTGCCAAATATTTTTGGAGTATCCGGTCTGATTGTGGAGTGTAAGCTCGCGTCAAGGATTTGGACCAAGCCAATAGCGACCCGGACTAGGGTGAACTGGCAGTGTTTGGCACCGTTCGTGATTCCAACACGGTCGTGACAGTCTGGCGACAAGCACGGCTCACCTGTCCAATTTCCTCCACCTGATCGATGACTCCGTGGGGGAATCCTGGGGCGGAGGCAACCAGCATGCAGGTGCGCTTGTTGATCCTCTTCTTCATCTCCTGCCAAAGCAAAAAAAAAAAAAACTCTTCCCATGAACTGAGAAACTTGGCAGTGCTGAAAACCAACTTGCAGAGCCGTTGTCTGCCAGTGAGTTGGCAGACGAGGGGAGAGGTGGCAATGGGACTATGCTCTCCCAAAACAGAGCAATTTTACTTTGGTTTTTTTTTTAAAGAACAATTAAAAGTGATTTGATTTGGGGGGAATGTTTATTTTGCCCTCCTTTCATAAATGTCCAAATTAGCTTTCCCTCAGGAAGGCCATACTGGAAGTTAAAAAAATTGTTCAACTTCCCCTCCCCCCAAAAATGGTTTTTGCCCCTCCCCCCCAAAAAAACTGGTTCTAGATGAGTGCTTGATCATGTGCCAACATCTTAGACATAATTATGTCTGGAAATAGCACGCATAGCAGGTGAGAAACGTAGTCCTATATGCAATTCTAGCCGCTGCTAGTAAATTGTGCAGAGCCCTAAGTCTGAAAAGAAGACTTCAGGGAAGACCTTAAGTTTGTCTTTAAAGTATGCACATCTTGTTTTTGACCTTGAGGACGTTGGTCAGGAGGCTGTCCCGAAGAGCATCAAATCTTTCAGAGTTTAACCCTAAATCCCTCATTGTTTTGGATAGGAACTTTCCGGGCTCCCCACCAATCCATCATAAGTTGATTTCTGTAGCAATCTCCAATCCACCTTCACACAACTGATCCTATACAAAGTTGATGGCAAAGTCCTCTGGCATACGGCCACTTTGTAAATGGAGTTCTTTTTGGAGTGAAGTTGATTTGTCTCAGTGCGTATCTCACCCTGAGATCCACTTGCAGAGTCTGGGGATCCAGCGGCACGCCTACGAAGCGCATCTTGAAGTATTTGGCGGCCTTGGTGAAGGCCGCGTGGGCACTGC